CCAACACCAACACCAACACCATCACCATCAGCATCACCACCACCATCACCATCACCATCAGCATCAGCATCACCATCACCACCACCACCACCACCACCACCACCACCACCACCACCACCATCACCACCATTACCACAATCACCACCATCACCACCATCACCACCATCACCACCATCACCACCACCACCACCATCACCACCATCACCATCACCACCATCACCACCATCACCACCGAACACCGCCACCGTCACCACCACCGCCGCCGCCGCCGCCATCGACGCCGGCCCCACCGCCCCAGCACCACCACGACCGCCACCACCNNCACCAGCACCACCAGCACCAGCACCGCCACTACCACCACCACCACCGCCACTACCTCCACTGCCACCACTACACCACCACTACCACCCACCACCACCACTACCACGACTACCACTACCAACGTCAAATGCGTGTTTCCATCGATGCTGATCACACAGAGAGAACAAGCATGAAATTGATGCCAGGGACGCCGCCTCCTATGTCCCAGGGCGATGTGGGCACGCATTAAGGGAAATGAGCATGATAGTAAGGGTAATTGCAAGCACAAGGGCAACAAAGATAAGAGCACGAATAAGAGTTGAAACACACCAGTCGTGATCACCGTCATCATCATAACAATGATCATGATCTGAATGGGGAAACGAAGATGAGAAAGCCACAGCCACCATCGTCCTGGTGCATACTCATCCTCGTCATCGACCACGTCCATCATCATCAGCATCATCATCACCATCATCATCATCACCACCACCATCATCAGCTTCGGCATCGGCATCGGCATCGGCATCGGCATCAGCATCAGCATCAGCATCAGCATCAGCATCAGCATCAGCATCAGCATCATCAGCATCATCAGCATCATCAGCATCATCAGCATCATCAGCATCAGCATCAGCATCAGCATCAGCATCAGCATCATCACAACCATCACCATTACAATCATCATAATCATCATCACCGCCACCGTCGCAATCGCCATATATATACATATATGTTATATATATATATATGTCCATATATATACATATATATATATATATAATATATATATATATGAGATATATATATATATATATATATATATGTATATACGCGATATATTTTATATATGCATATCGTCATCATCGTCGTCACCATCATCATCACCATCATCACCCTGACAATGGAGGACAAGGACAAGGGCCCCGGCCAGTACCGCACGCCGCGCCGCAGCGAGGCTCAGTCGGGCCCGGCACGTTTTCCCGGAGTGATGTAAAAATGCGTGTGGGTGTTGGATCTCTGGGATTGGACCGCCAGCCGTTCAGTTTCGGGTTGTTTTTGTCTGCCTTCAGACGCCGCATAGCAGGAGCCTCGGCACCCTGAACTTATCGATCCGCTTTCGGCCCCGCTCCCTCTCGCCCTTTTGCTGATGCTGCATCCCATTCGGGTGTTAAGTATTGCTAGCAGTGGATTTGGCTGGCCTGGGAGGTGGCCACGTTTGTATGGCAGATGCTGACGGCCGTCGCGTATCTCCACCACCACAAGCGGGCTGTCTGCACTAAACGGGGTTGCCACCCGCATCTTTCTGAGTGTGTTTTGTGCAGTGTCGGAGTGGTCAAGGCAGATCTAGCTCGCTGGACGGTAACTGCGGAATGTGGCCAGTCCAATGGAGTGGCGAGACATCGGCCACAGTCAGCCAAGGATTGCCCACCGGGACATCAAACCAGGGAACCTTCTTCTAGAGGATCCCTCAGCCCCGATGACCTTGCCTCTAGACTGAATGTGGCCACCGCCTTGTCGGGGCTCCTAGCGGGTTGTCCACAGTCGTTGTTTCACCTGTGCAGCTGGAGTGGAGCATGTCAGACCCTTGAGCAGCGTCTGTTCAGGTTTTAGGGAGGGTTCATCAGAGCATAAGGTTTCTCTTCATTTCTCTGACGGTACATGGGTCCGTCTTTTGCTTTCTTGCTTATTGCTGGAAGTTAGAGGGCCCCTGTTTTTCATCATCTCTGCGGTGTCTGTGTCATCATCATCATCATTAAACTCATTACCAACATCATCATCCTCACCGTCATCATCATCAGCCCCACCACCACCACCACCACCACCATCATCATCATCATCATCATCATCATCGCCATCATCACAATCACCACCACCATCACCATCATCATCGTCGTCTGCTTGTAGATATTTGTTTTGCGTGCGGAATGTTTTGAGTGATCCAACCGTCTTCATCATGCCTCACATTGTCTCTCATCAGTCGTCTTCTGAAGCTAAGCATTGGGCAGACTCCTGACGCCTTTCATCAGAGACATGCGCATGTAATAGCACTTGCCAAGGAAACTCGCAGATTTCAATCTTGCGTGCAACTTCCGGAAGGGGCAGAAGCTGTCCTCCCGATGTGGGTCATTGATGTACCTGGCTCCCGAAGTTATTCACAAGTCCTACACAGAAGCTCGGCTGCTTTAGTTTCATGAAGCCCTGGAGAATTCTGGAGTGCAAGCTGCGTACGCCTTCCGGGCAACGACTCGTGACGAGGGGTCTCTCGGCATAGCCTTGTCTTCGAGGCTCGAAACGTTCAGCCTGCATGCTCTGAGATGTGCATGTACATTGCCGGTCGAGTTGCCCTCGGGATTGATCTCAGGAGCGCTGTGATATTTGGAGTATTGGTGTGACTTTCCAGGACTTTGGCAACAAGTAAGAGTTCCTCGCGCATCAACTCGCCTTCGCTGTTGCAGGACCTCGTGACGGGGGAGGCCCTCTGGCAGGCGCAGGAGGAGCCACAGATTGAGAAAATGATCCTGCAACAAAGTCACCCGGCTGCAAAAACAGCGTCCCGTTCCACGAATCAGAAGGATCGCAAATCCCTGACCTGAACACATCTAAGAACCGGAGCTCCGCAGCAGACACTGGCTGCGTTGCTGCATTGAGGTCTCGGGATCGATTATCGATACAGCCTAAAGGCATTCCAGCCTGCACCCTGAGTTGGACGCTTCATAGCATCAACATACGTGCTCACATTTTCGTTAAAAGCACATCGATCGTTCTTGATTATCGCCATCATCAGTCGGGGGTCCCAGTGTAGTGAGACCACATGGTTGCCAGTATTCATATCCGCGCCCCGGGTGCACGACGGGTCTGCGAAGCATTCTGGGGCGGTGGGTAACATCTTCGCTTGCATGACTCACAGCACCTCTCGCGCAGTGCCGCTCAGAAGAGTTTCGGGAAAAGGGAGCGAAGAAGGATTGTCACTTTGAAGCTGTGGCAAACACTTGCGATGTTTGACTGCATTCGGGTTCGCGATTGCTCCCAGCTTACATGGCAGTCGCTGGAACAGTCTAATTACTTGTTCACGCGAAGATGGGAATGCCATCCCATCAGGGGCCTAACTTTGAGGATCCTCACAACGACCCTGGCCCTAATCTCCGGAAGCATATGAGAAGCAGAAGCGGAGATAAGGAGCAGCCACGGCGAGGCATCGCAAGAAGCTGCGGGTTCTGTGCTTCACCAGGGAAGCTCCTTCACTGACACCCCGTGGCTCAGGGTCCCGGTTTCAGGTCCTACTAAACGCGAATGCCTCGTAAGAAAGCAGCTTCCATCTGTTCGTCGATTCCGGCTGCTCCGATTGGCTTTTCTGCCTCTTGAGCTTGGGACTAGGACCTGGCATCTTTAGCTTGTCCAGGCAGATGAGAAGCCGTACGTCATTAGTCCTTGGAGTGTGCACCAAACGTGGCACTCGCTACATCCTGGAGTCGTCGTCGTGACTTCTTGTATTCATAGAGCGATGAGCGGTTCAGCGAAGTCGGGTTTAGATTAAAGGCCTCCGCATCGGTGAAGTTCAGCCGGAGTTTTGGATCCCTAGTGAGCCGAGTGCCTTGGGGGTCTTGTCAGGGTGCAAAGGAGCTCTTCTGCCAGCTCACCCTCCGCGAGGAAGTTCAGGGAAGCTGTGTAAGGCCCTGCTGAACTGTCTTAGAGCGACGGTGTGCGAGAGAGGATGCTGGAAGACCTTCCGCCACAGACGCCGTTGAGAACTCTTGGCTTCGCAGGCAAGAGGTGTTTTTACACAGCTTCCGCTGCACACCTGCAGCTGCTAAGCTAGCTTGCACCCTGTGCCAACTGTTGCATGTTCATCACGTATCGCTACTCTGCATGCCTGGCTCTGTTGCACTTCATGTGTTGTTAGGCATCGACGCGGCAAAGACATGTGCTGCGCCATTAGCTGAGCAGCCTTCTTCCATCTTCGGCAGAAGTAGCCGTATGAGCCCTGGATTATTGCAGCATGGTATGGGTACTTGGGACAAAACACTCCAGCAGCATTTATCGCGGTTTCGTGATCCGGAGCCTTGCTGCCGACATTTTTACGGGACTGCTTTGCAAGCGCCACGGTGCCTAAACACAGTCGTCTCGCGACCTATCATCAACAGACAGGAGCTTCATGTAAGGCCGCAAACGCGAAGCATGTACAACGTGACATTCGGCGGGGTGCAGACACGTAGCGGCTTTGCAGATGCAGTCTTCCCACGGAAGTGTAGATCGTGCACGTTTAGTGCATTTGCTGCTGCTTCGGCTGTACGCCCATCAAGCAGCCTGTTCACTGGGCACAGTCCTTTTGCAGGTCTGTGGTTTGATTTAGTCACGCTTGTGCAAACCTCTGCGCAGGAAGTTGACTGTTAGCGCTTTTCGTCAGCTGAAGCTCATGACCCAGTTGTCACACCATGCCGAGAGTCAGATGAGTCAGCTGACGCAGCTTTTCAAGCGATTTTTTCAACGAGAATACCAGTGGTCGGGGAAGCATGTGTGTCGAACAGGGTGCAAGGAAGTCGGCTCGGGACACTCCGGGTTAATTGCCGTCCGCAGCCAACTGGCGGCCAAGTTATTCTAGCATCCCAGCGCGATGTCTCGCTCGGGGGGACAACGCAGCCAATGCCCAGGCGTTGGCCATGGCAGTTGAGCATTCTGAGCCAGGCACCCGTGATTCCTTTCATGATTGATTCCCGTCATGACTCCAAAACTGACGATACTTGGGACAGCATCAGGTTCGGCTATGCTCTAAGAGCTTTCCAGGGGTAAGCAAGAAGCGAACCATGGTGGCCTTGGCATTTACGTCTGTCTGTGCTCTTCTTCGCCTCGAGAGTGCTGTGGGATGCTTCGTTTTGGGATCCTGGGTGAGCACAGTTACAATCAACGTCGATTTAACCGGCACGCTGAAGTTCACCCAGGTCCGCTCCGGCCCAGCTACAGCCTGCCCACTCTCGAAGAGAGAGGTAAAGCTTAGCTGTAAGAGAGATGGTGTGTGCAATCGTGTGCATGAGAAAAGAGATGTCGGAGATCTCTGCGAGGACCTGAGACTGAAAGTCTGAAAACACCAAAGGCTGGAGCTCTGCCTGAAAAGCTTGGCTCCAAGGAAAGAGCTCATATGACTTGCCAGCCAGATCAACCTAACCCTGCTTGAAGCACAGGAGCAGTCGGCCTAGGCTGTGTTGCAAGACTGAGTTGAAGAGCGCACCTCACATCCGGTGGCTTACAGCTCCTGATATCAGCCCAGCTCCGAGCATCGTTCCCGACTCCGGCCCCGGAGCCCGCTTGTTTCCTGTCCTCTCCTTCGTGCCGGTGTGCTTTGCTTGGCAGCCATGGCGGCCGGCATGCAGCAGTCTTCGTCGGCCGAGAGGCGCCATGATTTTCAGCAGAGGCAGACAGGAACCAGAAGCTGCGCTGCAGGCAGTAGAGCTCTGAAGGTGCCTGTCCTGTCTAGTCTGGTCCGCAGAAGTGTGAAGCCATGGCAGGCTCCCAACCCGGCAGTTTCTTCGTAGATGGAACCTTCTCGGGCCACACAGGCTGGACTGGATGTACGAGCAGAGCGCGGCATCCGTCAAGCCTGATGAAGACACCCTGATGAATATGCCCATCAACGCCCAGAAGGACTCGAATCTGGTGCAATGTTCGGCTCTGCAGCTGCTGAATGCCTACGTTTTTTCCGGACTTGCGAATAAAGACTGCATGCTCTATGTCGTGCTCGGGCCCACACACTTTGCGACCATGAGCCCTTGGGCTGCATGACATTCCAACCCATCGATGTCTCCCGCTGCCGAGCACCAGGACAAGGACATCGAGGATGTGAAGAATCTGCAGCACCTTGGCTGCTGAGACACGGGAAACTCGGACAGGGAGGGAGAGACAGGAGCAAGGAGGAGTGGCTAGGTCGCGCAGTTACTACACCGATGCTTCGCCCGTGCCTGCTCTGTGAAGGGCCAACCAACAGTGATGCGAGCTAAGAGCTTGTCACACTGCCAAAGATGCGGTCGCACGGCGGGGCGCGCACGGCGCGTGCGCGCGCAAGAGCGGCGTACGGCGGGGACTCGACAGGTTCGTAAGAAGAGGAAGAAGCGAGTCACTCCTCGTCACCAAGACCGAATGCTATCGGTTCGGGTCTTCCCGAGCGGCTCTGTTCCTTGCTGACAGAGGATGGAGGGGAGTCTTGACAGGTGCATTGGGTCCGGGGTATTGCCAGGTTACTCCACGCTCGAGCAAACACAAGCAACATAGCACACTGGTCCCCATTCTGCTACCAGGTACGATAGGAAACAAGGATCGTGAAAGCTAAGCTTCAACACGAGGAAGGTGTTGCCTAGGACAACGTATTGACCGGAGGGACTGGAGATTGGACCTGGACGGCGTGGAGGTGTTGGCAAGGGCGGTGGGCTCCAAAGGCTAAGCACTGCAAGTGCGTTCTGCCTCTCCCCCCCTCTCCCTCCACCCCCCAATGTTATCCCCCCAAATACAAGGGCCTGTATGCATGTAGGCTTTCTGTGGCGGAATGGCGGGAACAAGCAGAACGCGTGAAGTCCTTGAAAAAGAAGACCCCTGCAGCTTAGGTCGGAGAGAGTGGAGAGCTTCGTCCTCCTTGAGCCGACAGCCGACTGTTTCCCTGTGCAGGAACTCGACGGCCGGATCGCTTTTCTTGGGCAGCGCGACCAAGACGACTGAGGCTGCCGCCGCTGCTGCCTGTGCTTCCATACGTGAGAGTTGAAGCTTCCTGACGAGTCTCAGCTGTGGTGAGGACATGGTCCGGAAGCTTCGTGAAGATCCGCTGTTCCAGATTCGGCGGCAAGAGCACGCTGCCCGAGAAAGCATGCTTGCTCCCCAGCGGCCGCAACAGCCATTGATGGCATGGTGAATGTCTGAGAGCCCCATGAAGAATTTTCGGGGATCTTCTGCAAAGGATGACGAACCCGCTCATCATGGCAAAGATCCAAAAGAAGCAGGAGAAGGAAGCAAAGATCCTGGAATGCATAGCTGCTCTCTCCTAGTCCTAGTCTAGAGCATTCTACAGCAATGCCCGGTTCTTGGTTCTGTCTGACTGCACCAAGGAAGGCCGCCAAGAAAGAAAAGAAGGCGGCAAAAAAGGAAGAGAAGGCAGGAAGATTGTCGTGGTTCTTTCGAGGCAGCCATTGTAGTCCTTTGGCAAGCTTGCATGCCACACAAACACCAAGCCGACGTGGATGGTGGAGCGTAGGGGTTCACAGAGCACGAGCAGCTCCGGCCGCCACAGCTTCACAGGTCCTGAACAGTGCTACAAGCCACCGAAAAAAGGGAGCATGAGCTGTCGGCATCAATGGCAGAGATCACATCCAGACAGAGTTTGCCGGATTAACGTCTTGGAGAAAGTTGCCGTCGAGGGTAAGGGTGCGCAAGCGGAACGAGCAAGGGTCTTTGCAAATCTGTCATGGTTCTCAAGTTTGGTGACCCAGACTCGTCACAGAAAGCTTATTTCTCCGGTGCCCTCGCTAGCCGAACTTTTGCAGCCACTTGCACTAACATGCTGCATGTTGTGCCTCCGGACGTCACTGTCCTGATCACTCCGCGAACGTGTCTTTCAGGGGCTTTGACACAGTGTATTGTGTGTAGAAGATGGGACAAGCCCAGACAATCGGTGAATATGTTGAGCAGAGTGCGCTTTGCTGGAAGCTCTTGTCTTGTGTCTGGGCATACAGTCGGAAGTATGTTGATCTGGGTGTCGAGTCTGCCTGTGTAGAGGGTCTGCCAGTACTGATTCGCTGTAGGCTGTGCGATGTTTTATTACGGATTTGATGCTTGCAGACGGGTGTTTGCCTAGGCATGTCAAGCATGGTCTTATTGAGGCGAGTATTCGGGCTGCTGCCTCTCCTATGGCCTACTGTCGTTACAGGTCTGCATGCACTGCAGGGGGAAGAGGGCCTCTTAGAAAAAAACCCTGAAACAGAAGGCCTTGAAGAAAGCGGCCAAAGCAGCACCTTGAATGCAACTACTTGGTGAGGCGCATGCTTCACACGGCACCTTAACAGCCAGACTTTGGAGTGATGAAGCGATGCTCCCCAACCCTGTCACCCAGACTTGCCCCCCCCCCCCCGCTGACAATGACAACACAAAGCGTCACACCCCGAGCCCCAACCCGGAGCCTTGAATCCACTAAGCCACTTAGCCTTAAAGACGCTGTCCATCCAGCTAAAACACCCCCTCTAAGCCAAAACGCTCCTTTATCTGATAAGTAGTTTTTTCGAGCTTAGACTTTAGACGCTCTGGTTCGTGCAGTCGCGGATGCATGGACGCAGTTCCACACCCAAGGCAACAGTTACTCAACCCAAGTTGGGCCTTTAAGGAGTTCGGGCTCTGTCTGTTGAGAAGCCATTCTTTCATCGAACTTTTGTGGTCTTCGGATGCTCTGGTTGCTGCAGTCCTGCCCCGCTGAGGCCAAGAAGGCCAAGGACTCCAGCAGCGACTCCGAGCCGGAGCCTCCTCGAGCAGCTGCCCGAGAGGCAGGGAGCGCAGGGCTCCTTTGAGGGGTCCTTCAACGGCACCGTTACAGGTGGGTAGGGTTGAGGATGCGTTAGGGGTGTACCAAGCGTCGAAGAGTCCTAGAGGTTACCTGGGGTATGTCGCTTGGGGAGTAGAGTCTGCGATGACTCAGGGATCCTGGTTACAAGGAGATCTACGATTATGGGGCTTGACCGAGAAGCATCCAGAGCAACATAGAAATGTCATGCGTGTAGTGTAGCATCCATTTCGATGTAGGGCCCAGGGCTCGAACATCTCAGCTCCCAACTTCCTGAGCTGAGCTCAGGCGCCACCAAAACGGCCAAGGGAGGAAGAGCATGGCGCTCGTTGCAGAATCAACAGTCGCTGTTGCAGCGTTTTGTACTGGCCTTAAAAAATAGAATAGGGTTTTGGGGTGTATTATACTATAATCACAATAAGGAACCCCCAAAATGGACTTTATCATCGTTTGCTTGGGGTATTCGTTGTATTTTGTCAACACCGAGGCCAGACCTTTCTGCGCTGGGTCCGAGCAGCGTCGTGGTGAGCAAGCGAATGGAGCATGACCGACGCTGAGTTTCTGAACAGCCAAAGGCAGTTGTTCCCAGACCATCCTCGACCCGACTCTGCTGAATGCAAGAACTGTAGACATCCTGCACTTATTGGATCTTCTGGTTCCTATCTGCTCTTGCAGGAGGAGCGCGTTGCCAAGCAAAAGGAGCAGGCCTTAGCCAGCCGTGGCTTGGGCAGGCACGACTCAAACAGCGTTCAAAACCGGTCAAATATCATAGAGTAGACAAGGATAGCTCAAAGTGACAGCTCCATAGCAAACGGAGTACGATGGCATGTGATTCTTCGCAATTCTAGAAGATGGCTTAGACATCAGCCGAGTCCATGCTTATGTGTCATCATAATTGTAGGTGTATGGTTTTCGTTTTCCATAAGCACTGAGGCCTGGTTGTGTGACTGCATCAGTTTTTGGCTTTGCTGCGTTGGCTCCAGGGGGTGGGTTAGTCGGCGCCAGTGGTCAGTGTGTGCGAGTGCAGTTCTTGTTGATGGAACGGAAGCGGGTAGCTGAGCAGGCCTACTAACAGCAGGGTTCAGCTTTTAATCCAAACGTGGATCTCGGCGGTGGGAAAAGAGTCGATCAACCAAACCGAAGCCCTGAAGTGAAACCCTGAAGCACCACGTATATGATGCGATGGATATGGATATATATATATATATATGTATATGTATATGGTCTATATATATATACATACATATCTACACTTTTTTTCTCTCTCTCTTTCTCTATACACGTACTTAACATACACACAAACATATACCTATATATCTATATATCTATGTATGTATGTATGTA